TCGAAACGAGGAGGAAGAAAGCCCGAAGGTAGCGCTGGAAACATGGTGTGCCCTTTTTGTTCGGCCATGTGTACGGAACGCGTCGTTTTTACAAACAGGCGCACATGTGCTTTCTTAGCCTGGATGGATTTTCTCGGACTCGCGTATGGTTATCTTTTCAAAGCGTTTCAAGTGCTTACTTGTCGTTCCACGAAGTGAAAATTAGAGTCGAGTCGTTTCTGAACAACGTACCAGCAGCGTTCTACAATCTGTGAAAATATGAATAAAATGGAAAGGAGAAGCTTTGCCTTGCGAACAAAGGCATATTATGTTGGAATAAAAGAAAGAACCAATGTTCCTAGACACCGTACTTCCTAGGAACGACATTTTCCCGCATAACTCGACAACCAAGCTCGAAGACCGATTACCTACAGCAAAAGAGTCGTCCTAAATGTTTACAACATATTTTAAAATCATCGAAATCGTATTTTCACCGAGTCACAAATTCGTCGAACGAGCATATTTTTCAAATCTCCAGCGGTTTCCGTACAAAATCCCAAGTGCCACTTACGCTACTGTATCGATACTCTGTCGATACTCTGTCGATGCTCTGTCGATGCTTTATCGATGCTCTAACGATACTCTAACATCTGTAACGTGTTTTTCGCCAGGATTCATCACCTTGCACCTAACGAAACGTAGTCTGTAGAAGCATGCAATTATGGCGTATCTGGTGAAAATAGCTGATGAAACGGGAGATTTTCCTGACGATGCGCGGACAGTTTTACCTTTGATTCTCGTTTGCCAGTAAATTTAAATGATGCGGTGGCGGTGAGGCGGCCGAAACGGAACGGCAGAGAAGTAAAAACTAAAAGGAAGCATGAAAACAGCTCGATGGGCACCCTATGCTCGCTGGCGAATACGTTGGCTGTGCGTGTTGGTTCGCTGTGGTGGCTTCGTGTCGCACACTTGCTCTTTCGATGCACACGTGCATCCAGTTTCTTTATGCGAAGGAAAGTCATGGTGGTCGTGCAGCAACGCCTGAATCACGCGGCGTTGCACTCAGCATCGTGCGCGCGCCTGTGTCTGTGTTTTACGACCAGTCAACTTTGCGGCTTCTGCATAACTCTCTGTATTTTCGTGTGTCACGGGATGTATTCGGTGGCTCTTTGTTCTCGTGTACGTGGACACGACGATTTCATCGTGATTCAACGTGCAACCTCTTTCTCTATCTATATCTCGCGTTTGTTCGCGCTTTACCTTGTTTCACAGTTACCTCTGTCTGGATCGCGTGCGATCGCTTTTCAGACTTTTTCGTCCATCTTCTGTACAAATAGAATCTTTGCCGTAGGAGCTGGCGGTATAGCGCGAACGTCATGGGAACGTAAGACCTCTGTTTCTCAAGCTTGTTTATACGATGTGTACGAACCATGACGAGGATAGACATTTTATATGTACTCTGCTGGACTATGCGTTTCTCGTACAACCAGCAAGCGCGTTCGTTGTAATCGCCTTGCGTTAGTTTTACTTACCAATGCAAGTTTGTGACACACGAGCTTTGTCCGTACTTGGAACATTTCTAGTAGATTTATCGAGCGAAAGTTAATTTAACGCTTTGATTTTCGAACCGTTCGAAGAAATTAATTTACTCGAAATAATCCTGCGACCACCGATAACGTCAACGAGAGATATTACATGATAACGAGGTTTCAATAATTTGATTCTACATTTAATAGAAAATTAATCGTCGTTTGCCTGTTTTCGCGAGAGGAAATTCTCTAGGTTGCAATTTTTAGCGACTGTACGTAATGTATTGTACAAACGTACGCCAAATCTGTTCCGTATGTAAGATATATGGTATATAGAAGAGAGGCAGAGGAATAATTTTAAACGAATACACTTTTCAACTTCTCATGGTCTTTCGTTATACTTATCTCATCGATCATGTTCCCCGTTCTATACGCAAGTCCTGCAATTACGCAGAACGGAATGCAACGTGGCCAGCTAGAAAAAGTCGCACGTGTAATTGGCCTCCGATCCTTCGATTATTTTAACCGCTAGTTAATCGCAAACACGATCGTTGACGGTTTTCATGGCCTTTAATTACAAGACGAAGTTTGAGCCGCGTTATCAAGGTACACGAGTCGAGTGACTTTATCGTAAATCGTTCGTTCGTGGGAATCGTGCGATTTGCTCTTTGATTAGGAAAATCGGTAGCTGTGGATAATTTTTCAAACGTTCTCGTCCCAAGTCCCGAATCATTTGCTAACGTTAAACGCGTAACGCTTATAAAAGACTTTCGAAATACGTGCTTTTGAAAACACCGTTGATAAAACGAAACGTTTTACGTTTTATGCGAATGTTGCTGCTGGTTCACCACGGCCTCTCTCAGTTTACCGTTTACATTGTACTCTTAATTAATTCGTTATTTTTCGTTTATTCCGGTTCTGTTTTCGCTCGAACTAACGAACCAGCGTTGTACGTGTATACATCGTGGTTGCAATTGGCCAGACATTTTTTACATTGTCTCGTGATGAATTATCGTTACGTGTTTGAATGGTACATTGATTGTGGGCTAACGTGTTTCCCGAGTGGTTTAAGCCTGACTCTGATGTAGCTACGTAAATCGTGTCTCGTACGCAACGAACAAACGACTGAACCGTGACTTGCCCTCGATACACGATGAATAATGTGTAGAACAGTTTTCTCAGCGATCGGAATAATATCATTTTTCAGACGACTACTAACGTTCTAACGCACGTCTTTTCTTCGCCTCCGTTGTTTTCTTCGACTACTCGAGGTACGGATGGTGCAACAGCGGTGATCTTTTTAGCGCTCGAGTTTAGACGTATTGGCGAAATCCTACTCGACGCTGATGTACGCGAATAATACCTCGTTGTGTCTTTAGCGTGAAGCTAGATGCTTTTGTTTCGAGCAACGTTTCGTCGTTGTCGTAGCTCAGCGATAAAGGTAAACTGCGGCAGAGGAAAGATGTGATTTATCCACTTTACGTCCACTTTGTTTCCGTTTCGATTAATTTTCATTTTCGTATTTCAATATCGGTAAAGCTCGTTCCGCTTTGTTCGGTGTTTCTCCGCTTGATTCACCGCATTGTCTGGCCGATCGTTTCCTATTAGGATCCCATTAGCGTGGAAAAGTAGGGGAAACGGGAAGGAAAAGCTTGGAACAATAGGTTGGTGGAAGCATGAGTAGTAGGTAGTCTACCACGTGCTTGCGTTGTGAAAACTGTCTAACTTTCTACCGGCGGTGAAACGTTACAGAAGGTTGATTCTGATAAAGCAAACACAATGGTATTCGTACGCAGCCACGAAACAAATACTAGTCGCGAAGATAGTCCGTACACTCGGTACATACGGTAGTATTGAATTTTTATCAGGTCACATCGGTAATAAATCGCGTGTCATCGCTATAGAAATCTGATCGGTGGTACACGTAGATATATACCGACCGTGCGATACAAGCGAAATATGTACAACGTATTTTTTCAATATTTCGTTTCACGGTTCCTTTAACAGTCTACTGCGTTTTATCCGATATACATGTGTATATTTTATTACGATTATTTGAAATAAAATTTGTGAAGAATCTGCTGACCAACCGGTAACGCTAAAGCGAAGTAAATATTCGCAACGAGCAAATCAGCTGTGGAAACAGACTGAATATTTAACTGGCGGAAACACTGTGTTTATTCAGTTATTAATGTTGGTTTCGCTAGCTTTTAACGCTCACCTTGGATTCCCGAGTGCGAACTGGGATTTGCATGAAAATAAAAAAATTCTCTCTCTTTCTTTCTCTCTCTCTCTCTCTCTCTCTCTCTCCCTCTTTCTATATATAGAGAGAGCTCGATTGTGATTGTCCCGTAAGGAACTGGAGAAAAAGTTGCGCATTCCTAAAAGGTGCAGTTAAAACTGACGTGGATCTTTGAGTCAGAGAACAATGTTCAACCAGCTGATACGTGTCATTCGGAATAATAACGACTTAATAAAATCTCCGATCTTATTGAAATTTGTGTATAGTTTTATGAAACGCGATGTACTTTTATAGCGAATATTCCTCGATATTCAACGTTACACAGAAGCTTGTTTTTACGCTATTATTATTCCGAACCACTCGTATAACAGCGTACGATGTAATAAAAAGTGTCATTGAACGGTCGGTCGAGGAAGCAGAGAGGAGAGGAACAAGTGCAGGCGAATCGACTCTGAAAAGTTGGAATCCGGTTTTTACATGGTCGGCGTCGCCATCTTTTCCACTCGCTATCAGACCTGAATCATACACGTTAGTCATCGCGTTTTACAATCACTCGCGTCCCGTGCAC